TAGTGTCAGTTTTTGGTGGTTCAACATGTGATTTAAACTATATAGTAGACATATTTTATGTTCCAAAATGCACCAAACTGCTCGAAAGTTTGTTTTCCATACTGAAAATTAAACTTTAAAACTTTGAATTGTTCTGTAAAGTTTCGTTCAAGCGGAACGGCAGAGGAAACAGTGTTCACTGTTGTAAGACTTTTTATGATGGGAAACTGAAAAATATTCGTTCAAATGGAAATTTCGTTGAAGCGGCGTTTATTGGAGCAGGGTTCGACTGTACATAACAAACATATCTAGCACAAGTCGTGGAAGTGCAAACCCTTAATTTAGAGAATTCTAGCTCAAGGTAACCCTCTAAATGACTGTGTTCCAAAGTAAGTCTCATCAGTATACTTTTTTATAGACCCGGCCTTTTCAAAATTTTGTACCAGCTGGTAGCTCATGAAGCAATTTCACTTTCGCAAACTTGTTGCGGTCATGAAACTATTTTATTGGGCACAGATAGCCTTGTATGTCAATGGCAGATGAGTATTGGTTCTTCAATCACCTCATAGTTCTTTTTTGATTTATTTTCATTTCAACAATGTGAACGTAAGAACTGACCAGTACAGAGTGTCAACCCGTAAGCCCCTTGATTAAATTTTTCCCCTCAAAATGCTTTAAAGTCAAACTTGTGCCATGAGATTGACCGGACCAAACTCTGAAATAAAGGCCTATGCAGCCGTTGCATCTAATTCGTGTGTCGTGTTGTAATGACGTCTTGAATGTGCAAGCCTCATGTATTCTCCGCCAATAGTATCTCCTTCTCTCCCCAACTGACTGTTCTAAGTTCACTGTTTGTAGTCAAAAGTACTTCACTACTACATAGATTCCTTACTTTATTTTTATCCAGCAAATAATATCATCATAAAAGCATCTAACAACATATCCTCAAACTGAAAAAAAAAAAAAAAGATACTTCCCAACATTCTTCAGAATAATTTGCATCTACATTGAAACCTGTTTAGAACGAACCCACGTACAGCGAATTATTGTCGATATCGAACTCGCGGAATATTTAAATAAAAATGCATGTAAAAAGTACTTTTTATGACGAACAACATATTGGCTATATTGAACCGTTCTCCCCCAGGAAGGCTTCCAAAAACGTGCAAACAACCGTCTTCTAACCTTCCCCCCCCCCCCCCCAAAAAAAAAAGAAAGAAAAAAAGTAGGAAAGAAAAAAATATCAAAAGCTCGAGCCGCGAAAAAAATTGACAAAGAGAAGCGATTCAGAAGGGGAGCAGCTAAAAAAACACTAATCCCATGCACCAAAAAAAAAAAAAAAAGACTTCATCTCAAAGTGGTTGCCCACGAAGAGGAGTGACTCAGAAGGGGAGATAAGCTAAAAGAAGAAACGCTGCACGCATGCAAAAATAAAAAAATAAAAAAATTTAAAAAAAAAACTTTTTGGCGCTTTGTTACAAGGTGGAACCGAAAAGATGAGAAAGAAGTAGGGTTGTGCGAATATTCGAACGCTTCGAATATCGAAGCGAATAATGCCATAATCGATTCGGACTTCGAATCGAATAGTACTATTCGGAAACTTCGAATATTTTCGAAGTATTTCGAAGTTTGAACACTGTGCAAACCATGACCTTATTCGAAAAGAGGTAAGCTAATACCCTAGTCACACGAGCGCTCTCAACTGCCATTGAGTCAACGACAGTTGACTCAATCGCGATCGGCCGGAGTTAAACGGCGGCTCCAACTTTCATCGAGCCGCTAATGACACCTCAGTTCAACTGAACGGACTTCCCCAACGGAGGTAAACTGGCGCCTATCTGCGGGCCGCTGCCGCGGACCATCGTTTGCGAGGTACTTACTGTTTCGGAATGCAGAAGGAGGCGCCCAGAAAGAATCGCGGCAGCAAACATTCCGGGCAGGAATAGGTTTAGGCGTTCGAGCTGCCGCTAAAACAATCCGGGCTAGCCCGTGAGCCACCAAACGAGCGAAGGTGGCGGAGGGAACTAGTTTCGTTTTAGCTTCAACTGTGTTCTTGAGGGCCCCAGAAGATTACATTCACGTCAAAAACTGTGTGACCGTGTGCTACGATTGCCGGAGCTACCTCCTGGCTTATTTTTGTCCTCTTGCCTCCGAGTACACTTGAACTAATTTCCCACGTGCTGCACAACAAACGCATACGCCGTTGCTGCCCCGCCTGCCCCGCGTAGAAAACAATGATGGTGATACCGATAGTTTCTCCATTCTGAAAATGAAAATATCCTCATTTTGATAGTTACGATACCTCTCGAATACTGTAATTATTTTCTTGGAATTAAGTCTGACACGGTTGTGAAGTGTCATTCAAAAGTCGAAATCACGATGCTCTGAACAGTCATAAATTTCAAATATGAACGATATCAGCGTAGACTTCCAGGTGGCGCGGACCATACCAGCGATACCAGCCATCGTTGACCATTTCCTTGTTCTCCTTTTGTTGTTCTTCTCGCGTTCGCTACTTCTGTCACTTTCGCTGCGAACTGTGAATGCAGCTTGTCCTTGCGTTCCCGGAAAAGTCATGGACGATCCAAGTCACCAAACTCAACGGGCGATCTGCCGCAGCGCGATCTGGGAGTTCTTTGATCGAGGACCCAACAGTGCTAAATGTCACACGTGCAAGATGTGCCTCAAGACGCCGACGGGTACAACTACGACTCTGGTAAATCACCTGAAGCGTCTTCCCGGACCGTTTAAAGCGTTTGAGAAGATGCGTGCTTCTGAAAGTGCGAAGAAAACAGGAGCTAAAAAGTCTGACGGTAGGGTTGCGACTCCCGTACCTTTCAAGCCAAAGCTGAAGAAAGATAGCCAGAGAGCGAAAACACTGACAAAGAAAACGGCGCTGTTCCTTGCCACAGGCCTACACTCGTACTCGATCATCGAGGAGCCGGGGTTTTTGGCGTTGATGAACGCTGCCGTTCCCGAGTACCAGGTTCCTTCGAGGACAACCTTCTCCCGAGGTGTGGTGCCAGAGCTTTGTGCCAAAGAGAAAGAGCGCATCAAAGGCGAGTTGTGCGACCATTTTGAGAATGGATCCCCATGCTACGCCCTCACGACAGACGGGTGGACGTCGAGGACGGGGGACAGTTATGTTTCGATGACGTGCCACTTACTCGATGCACACTTCCAGCCCCGCAACTATAACCTGGCGTGCAGGCACATGCCCGAGGGCCACACGTCTGAAAACCTGAAGAGCCTCCTGCTTGATCTGGCTAGAGAATGGGGACTGCCACAAGACATTCCAGTCTTTATTGTTACCGACAACGCGAGGAACTTTTTGAGTGCGGTATCGCGAAAGACGTGGACCAGCCTGCAATGTTTCGCGCACACACTGCAGCTGTGTATACAGAACGCCAAGAAGGAAACGCCGGACTTCGACGAGCTCTGTGCCAAAGCCCGAGCAGTTGTAGGGCACTACAAGTGAAGCTCCGTGGCAAGAAGCCGCCTGAAAGAAATTCAAATTTCTATGGGATTGGAACCCCTTCAGGTCATCCAAGATGTTGCCACACGGTGGAACAGCGAGTACGACATGATGTCCCGTCTCCTCAAGCTGCGTCCAGCTATTTCCTTGGACTTGTCTGAACGGGACACTTTTGACAACCTGACCTGAAGCGAGTGGCGCCTCATGGCATCAGTGACATCAGTCCTCAAGTGCGTTGAGGAGGCGACACGAGAGTCGTGCTCCGAGAAGCACCCCACTCTCTCACAAGTGGTGCCACTAGTGCACTGTATGCAGGTCCTGCTGACCGAACAGTCACACAGCGGTGGAGAGGAGTCAGTCTTTGCAGGGAGCTTGCTTCGAAATGTCAAGTCCCGATTTGTGGACATTAAATTTCAAAGTGCTCATGCGCTGAGCACTCTGCTGGACCCCCGTTTCAAGGCTGTGTGCTACACTATACCAAGTGAAAAGCAATGGGCAAAGAACCATCTATGTGTAGCTGTAGAGAAGACCCTTCCCCTGGAGGAGAACTCTGAACAGACCCAAGACGTAACTGCACCACCTGCCAGTGCCAGCAGTGATGTGTGGGACGTTTTTGGGGCCCTGGCATCCACCAGCACCTCGAGCATCTGCTCCCGACGACCATCAGAAGAGGTAGAGGAGTACCTTTACTCACCTGTAAGGCCGCGATCGGAGAACCCCTACCTCTGGTGGAGGAATTTGGGGAAGGACAAGTACCCCCTGCTGGCAAAGGTTGCCCAGCTGTACCTCTCGATTCTGGCGACGCAGGTATCAAGTGAAAGGCTCTTCTCAACATCTGGGAACGTTGTCACAAGCAGGAGGGAGCTCCTCCTCCCAGAGCACGTGGAGCAGTTGGTGTTTATCCATAGCAATATAGAGTAAAGCTTACGACGTGATGCACAGGCGTCAATAAACTTGGGGGAAAGTTTGCTTCCTTGAATCTGTTCCAGACTTTTTTTCTGGTAGCCTAGAAAACATGTTGAAGACGACACGGCTAGCTAAGCCATATCGATGTGCAAACTATTTAAGTTCTGTTTTGTAAATTTTCTCACTTTTAAATTAGCAAATGCAAGATATTCGCTTCGCTTCGAAATTATTCGCTTCGATTCGAAACTATTCGTTGAAATTAATTATTCGCTTCGTATTCGCTTCGAAGTGAAAATTCACTATTCGCACATCCCTAGAAAGAAGCACTCGCCTTACAACGAACGCATCGTGAAAGTTTGTTGTAAATGGTTTTTGCTATATCGAACTACCTGCTATATCGAACTGATCGTAGCGTTTCCTGCTATTCGTTATAAACGGGTTTGACTGTATAGCACACATTCGGTGGCGTTTTTTTTTTTGTGTGTGTGTATTGGACATTAGATTAAGGAAAAGGGCAGATTGGTGCTCCACATCACACAGCAACTAAGGACCGTGGCGCGCGTCTGTGCTGCGCTGCACCAGTGTTTGTGTGTGCCGCACACCTTGTAGCAGGTGTCTGAATTGAAGCATCTCCCACCAGATGGACCATGAGAGCAAGCCCTTGGTGGCCCTGTTCTTCATCCTCTGGCTGCCCAACGTGGTCTATATCGGCTACAGGCTATACACAGTAAGTCTTTTATCTGGCTAGTCGATCCCCACGTAGTGTGGAGGCCGACTGTAGTTTGTTGCAGAAAAGCAGGGCAGGCTCCTCCCACAAAGCCCTGCACTCTTTCCCCTTTAGCAGAGCAGACGCTGGAGAGGAGGAAACCACCAATCATAACAAACGAAAAGATTTTTTAGAGAAGCTTGTCCCGCTTTTCTTAGCCTGTAGAGCTGCCACACTATTGATATGTTGTGCTAAATAATGACATAATACGGTGATAAAACATATACTAAAGCCGAAAGCAGATCTGGCATCTTGTGGATCATCTTCGCGGTCTGCCGGTTGGTTGTCCAGGCATGGCGCGCTTGGGCATCTACCGTATCTCTCGACCAATGCTTGACGAGAGGGAAACAAAAATTGGGCTTAAATCTTCTGAAAGTCATAAAGCCCTCACGTTTCCCCTTCCTCAAACTACAAGGGTAGTGCGCAAGAAGGAAGTGACCGAAAAAGAGGACGAAATGTGAAGGGCACATCAGCCTCTCTAAAGGGAATGTGGGAACAAAATTTCATAACCAGTTCTTTACTTAGATATGAGGCACGACGTAGATCAACGTTCTAATCAAGAATGTGAAAAAGACATTTTTGAGACGAATTGGCCAGTGAATTGTACGAGATTCCAATCCTGAAGTTGAAGGAGGGAAAGGGAAGTAGGAGGAGGGCAAGATGGGGCAAACGTGGGAATTGACAAAAAATATGACATTGTCAAGAGAGAAAGTGAGAAGGGATAAAAAAAAACTCAGCTCCTTTTAAAGAGTATCTCTGATTCGGATTCCAGGAAATGCATGCAAACAGGCACAGTGCATGGTCATCCATATTGGAGCAGGCCCTGCGCCAATCAAGGGCACCGCATATTGCATCTGGATGCTTAGCTTTGGACGCAGATGCAGGGACTAACCTATACAGAAAGCTAGTGGGGCATGTTGACAATGCCGCGGCCGATACAGAAACCTGCGCGTGTCCTGCAAACCAAGTGAACACCGCAGGTCGTGCCACTGGTGCCATCTGTGGGCTTCACCGGAAAAGTAAAAATACTAACAAAAGCTTGCTGTGTGTATGACGCACTTCCCTGCGCTGAACGTCGCCAACTAAATGTACCAGATTTCGTCAACTTGGTGCATCTCAAACTTCGTTGTCCTATGTAAAAAAACTTTTATACAAAGTTACAAAAAAAAATTTTTACTTGTGAACTTCCTACGCAATGAATGCTAAAGGGAACTGCTCCAGTTTCTCAGCAACAAAATTGAAGTGGTGTATTTTAGCCTCATACGAATCTGCTTAAAATTGACTCGTTCAAAGTGCGAACGAAGCTCTACTGATGCATCACAACCAATGGAGAGTGAAACTGGATTCTATCCGTAAATTGGTTGGAGCATTTGGCAAAAAGTTTGCTTCTGGAAGAAGCTGATATTGATAAACATACCTGCCAAATCTCCCGAATTGTCCGGGAGCCTCCCGAATTTTGATCACATCTCCTGATCTTACAGACACGATTTCAAACCTCCCAAAAAGTGGCTGCCATAGTTTCTTTTTTTTTTTTTTTATGACACCCTATTGCTATAATTGTGTCAGTGCGAGTTACTCGAGAGTAGGTTTAAGTTACTTCGGCGGGTTACCACGTGACAACTCGGAGCAGCAGCGTAAAAGGATGCTAGATTTTCAAACGCCAAGGTACGAAACCTCTACTCCTGAGTAAGTTCGAGCACATTTTGGTACACTGCTTATATGATCATGGGTGCGCTAGGCTCCAGTTGGATTTGTCAGGTCGTCGAGTGACGTGCGGAACGCCAAACTACTTTTTGTGTTTCCCCGGGTTTAGATGGAACGATCGATGGCTCTTTCAAAAGCCAAGAAGAAGTACAGTGTAGACCGCATATAACGTATGTCGCGGGAGTCGCGAAAACCCGCACTATAAGCGGTACCGCGCTATAACCAAAACATCAATTTTTCAGGCCAAAATACATGCCATGAGACAACTTACCTTTGTAAAACAATTTATTTTATGTTAGATGAAAAATAAAGCTTAGTTTAAGGAAAGTCTTTATTTCACCAGACTAGTACAGTTCTCTCTCAAGTGTGTCACACATTTTGAAAGAAATGAGCGGCTTTCGTCTGGCGCAGCCTTTTAACGGCGTCGCGGGCTGCGGACGGACGTTGCGAGCGTTCAGGATTGCTAACCCTAATCACTTTTCTCCGGTGATGAAAACGCTTGAAAATATGCATCCTTCATACGGTACGCTCCAGTAATGTCTTCAATTTGAGCACACGCATGAAACGCGCCAAATAAGAAATCCGGGTGATGTTCGAGGACACAAATGCTTAGAAATCATCACTGTAGTCGAAGTAAACAAACACGACGACACGGGCGTTTCTGCCGTCTTGACTGCCGCCACGACATCGCCACACGAGTAGGTGGATCTTCCCTTCTACAGTATAGACCACTTACAACGTAACCGCTTACAGTGCAGGACCGGGTATAACGCGGATTTTTTAAACCACCGGTTCGCCTCCCATAGAACTCCATGTAATTACATACCGCTTAAAATGCAGGCGCGCGAAGGGAAATACCGGTTATAGTGCGGTTTCTCGAACGGCCCGCCGACCGCGACGACACTATGCTCCGTTTCACCTTCAGTCCGAGCGCTGCGGACGCTAGGAGCCATCCCAGCCAGTCCAGCGTTGAGAGGGTGTCATGTGACCTTGAGCTCCCTGCGTCCCTCTGCCCAACCGGCAGGTCACGCGATTTTCTCCCGGCGCTGGATCGGCTGGGATAGCTCGTGGCGTCCACTGCGCTCGGACGGAAGGTGGAACAGAGTATAGATAATGGCGCTAGCTGCGAGCGGTACTCGGCGGGGCAAGCGGGGAGAAGCGAAGAGGGGAGGCTTCAGTTGCCATAGCGACGGAAGGACGCTAGCACGTGTCGTTTGCGTGCGTGCGTGCGTGCGTCCAAAGCACGACCAACTCTATAATGGGCGACCAGCTCACCTTCCCCTGCCCCAGCGCGCCACTTTTTGTTTTGCTTGTTTAGTTCTTTTTAGTTCGCCTAGTTCCCGCCGCTCCCGCTGGCGCTGCTTAGAATCTCCACTTTCCCCGCTGCTTAGTACGCTCGGGAAGCCTGGGGAGGCTAGTACAAGCTGTCTTTTGGCACGTGCACGCGTGGACGCGTGGTTTTTCTGGCTGTAAAATAGCTCAACGTTAATGGTAAAGTGGAACTCAAGGACGGGCTGTGATGGTCTTCTGCTGTGTGCCGCTGTGCAAGTCGAGCACGTGGACTTCGACGGGGGTCGCTTTCCACAAGTTCCTGGTGACGGAGATCCGGAACGACTGGCTGAAGAAAATCTCTTGCCAAGCAGAAGGCGAATCAGTTACCCACCAAACTATGTAGCATAAAGAGAAAATAGGTTCTCTTCATGTTCATAACACAAAATAGGTCGTGGTACATATAAGTTTACAGCGTCATCCTTTACACGCCGTGTTGCCAATGTTGGACGCTGTATATAACCTTCCTCATTTTGAAGGTTTAGTTAAATATGCAGTGATGCTGATACACCTACGTACCGGATCAGCCGTCATTCATCGGAAGGAATGATGTTCACGTGTTAATGTTGCGAGCTCGCGAATTTCATATGACGCGGAACTTGCTGACAGGGTGTATGTTTTAATTATGAGCGCGTTAGACGTCGTTTGTTTATCTGATACTGTTTACTGTATTCGTTACTGTTTTCGATTTAGTGCGTCACTCATAAAGAAGTTAGTTGTCTGTGTCCTAGTGAAAATGAAAGAATAATAGTAAATATACAGCTTGTCTCTGTCTTTCCTATTTTAACCATTGTTATGAGCCTTCCTATTTTAATGGTCTATTTTAAACATTTTTACGCTTTTGCCTTTCCTACAGCATTATTTCAAGAGATTGAGTATATGTTTTTTTCATGTATACACTAGTATGTTCATTACTGGCCTGGCAAAAAAATTTATGAGTGGAGAAGAGCCATACCCTAAAACCAAAACTGATATCTTTTTATTGAAATTTTGAGTATTTCTGGGTGTCCATTCTTTACAAAATGTATCGAACGGAAGCAGGTCGTATTAAGCGAGAAAAAACACTACGTCTGGCCGCGCTATAGGACTGGAAGCTATACTGATAAGCAAACACTCCCATTGCTCTCGTTGACTCGACATAACTTAGCTCTTCCCAAAGGGGTAAAAAAGAAATAACTTAATTAATAGACCGGCAATCGAAAGCGCTGTCGCTTTGCTCTGTTTACAGAACATGTCAAGAAAGCTATGCGGTTGTCGACAGAAAAGGTTACAATCAAACTCGTGAGTTTTATCAACACAACCGCCGCCCGTCGCGTATGACCGCGCGCGCATTTGGAGATGATACGCGGCGGCGCCTGGCGGATTTCGCTGTCCCCAGCCGTGGTCACGTGGTATTTTCCGGTACACGCGCTCCCATAGAGAGGGGAGAGCTGACCTGGTCGCCCTTTATAGAGTTGGTCGTGGTCCAAAGCCGCCCTCCGCTGTGTTGGAAACAACCGCAACGACAGACCAATCGCAGGTCGAGGAGAAGTATTCGCGCGCGTTGCATGCCGGTCGCGGGCCGGCTTCTATCCGCGAACATGGCGTCGGTTGTGATCGTCGTCGTAGACGGCATGGTGGAAGTTCATCGTTCCGCGTAAAAGCGCTACCCTTGACTGTGAATTTTCGTTGTGTGTCGCTATGATAACCCAGCACGTACTAGAAGGGAAGATCCACCTTCTCGTGCGGCGATGTTGTGGCGGCACTCTCAAGACGGCAGAAACGCCCGTGTCGTTGTGTTTGTTTATGACTACAGTGGTGCTTTCTAAACATTTGTGTTTTCGACCATCGCTCGGATTTCTTATTTGGAGAATTTCGTGCCTGTGCTCAAGTTGAAGGTATTACTGGCGCGTACCGTATAAAGGATGCGAATTCTCAGGCGTTTTCATCGCCGGAGAAAAGTGATTAGGGTTAGCATTCCCGAACGCTCGCAACGTCCGTCCGCAGCCCGCGAAGCCGTTAAAAGGCTGCGCCAGGCAAAAGTCGCTCATTTCTTTCAAAATGTGTGACACACTTGAGAGAGAAGTGTACTAGTCTGGTGAAATAAAGACTTTCCTCAAACTAAGCTTCATTTTTCATCTAACATGGAAATAAATTCTTTTGCAAAGGTAAGTTGTCTGATAGCGTGCATTTTGGCCTGAAAAATTGATGTTTTGGTTATAGCGCGGTACCGCTTATAGTGCGGATTTTCGCGACTCCCGCGACATACGTTATATGCGGTCTACACTGTAGTATGTGCTGGGTTATCATAGCGACACACAACGAAAATTCACAGTCAAGGATAGCGCTGTTATGCAGAACGATGAGCTTCCACCACGCCATCTACGACGACGATCACAACCGACGCCATGTTTGCAGATAGAAGAAGCCTGCCCGCGACCAGCACGCAATGCTCGCGAACACTTCTCCTCGACCTGCGATTGGTCTGTCGTTGCGGTTCTTTTCCAACGCAGCGGAGGGACGCACGCACGTGAACGACATGTGCGTGCATCCCTCTGTCGCTATGGCGACTGAAGCCTCTCTCTTTGCTTCTCCCCGCTTCTTCGAGCAACCTCCTTGTCCTGCGAGTGCCGCTTGAGGCTAGTGCCGTCAGCGCCGCTATCTAGTGTCGCACAGGGAAGCGTACTCGCTGCACCGGTCGTCGGCGCGGTCGGCGGGCTGTTCCAGAAACCGCACTATAACCGGTATTTCCCTTCGCGCGCCTGCATTTTAAGCGGTATGTAATTACATGGAGTTCTATGGGAGGCAAACCAGTGGTTTATAAAAACCGGGTTATACCCGGTCCTGCACTATAAGCGGTTACGTTGTAAGTGGTCTATACTGTACTTGCAAGTATTTCTGATATCATACGCGACTGAGTTTCCGCGCTTTGTCACTTTGCAGAAAGCTGACAAGTATGGATTCTGTACCATGTGTGCCTGTGATGTGTGAGCGTTTCGCACGGCGGCAAGCTTGACATCAAGATACATATCGCTTCACGAAAGCATCAGCACCATGTTCGTGCCATAGAAGGGCAGGGCACCATCAACAGTTTACTCCAAAACAACTGTGAAGACAGTGTGATCTGCGCAGAGTGCCTCTTCACAGAATTTCTTGTCAAACTAAAAAGAAAGTTCCCCCCCTTCTTGCGCGGCGGTCTCCCGAATTTTTATGTTGCTAGGTTGGCAGGTATGGATAAACACACACGCTCACGAAACCTTCCTTCCTTGAACAGCTGTCTTCGGACGAGTCGTGGACCATCCTGTTTCGTGCCACCATCACGTGTGCCATCCTGGCCTTGCTCAGTCGTGCCGCAGTCGCCGTTGTCATGGCACTGGTTGTGCGCAACTTTGGCAAGGGCCTCATGGAGAGACGTGAGAACTTTTTCCTCATCCCAAACTTACGCTTTGTGCACTTCTGCCCTGCATTGCTTTTCTACCACACATTGAGCATGTTCTTTTTCCCAAAACCTCCTCAAATAAATTAGTGCTACTCCGGTGGGCAGTGTTGGGACATACTTTAAGTATGTTGTACTTCAAGTACTACTTCAGGTAGATTTATGAATATTGTACTCCCGACTTCAAAGTATGTTCCCCAAATTTGGTCTTGTTAAATGTGTATCACAAAATGATGATTTGTCAAATCAACTAATGAGTGCCTTAAAGGACACTTGCAAAGGAAAAAAACTTTTTTTTAAACAGGCTAGATGGAAAAATAATATTATAAAACGAATTTACAGCGAAGAAAACAAAAAATTAGAGCTATATTTACAGCGCTAAACGAATTCGTAGTTGGCGCCAGCGGGAGACGCTGCTGGTCACGTGGTAGGCCTGTGCGCTGCCGCGCTGCGTCGCCGCCGCTGCCGCACGCTAAGCGTTGTGCGACGCCGCTTCAACGCGTTTCTCCACGCCGCCGTCGCCACACAAGTTTGTCTGCTTCGGGGCGCTGCCGCCGTCATCTGACCGGCGCGCAGGTCTGTCATGTCTGTTTGCGCTTTTTCAGGAGTTTCCTTCGGGCTCTAAAAGTTACTTATTAATCTTAGTTTTTTGTTGCACTTCAAACGAAGATGAATAAGTAACTTTTCAAAACCATAGGAAGCTTCCGAGATAGAGCAGGTACCATGTGACAAATAGGGGCCAGTCACGTGATAAATATGGGCCCCTTTTCCGCGGCGCCCGCGTGCGCCAATTACAAATTCGTATAGCGCCGTAAATATAGCTCTAAAAATTTTTATTTTTCGTTGTAAATTCGTTTTATGACGTCCTTTTCCCAACCCGGCTGTCTAAAAAAACAAGTTTTTTTTCCTTCGCATGTGTCCTTTAAGGGATTTTGTGTTAAATAGTTTTCAGTGAGAATAAAACACCTACCGTATTTACTCGCATAATGAACACTCTTTTTTTCCAAAAAATTTACACATATTTGGAGGGTGCGTTCATTATGCGGGGTAAAATTTTTGCATTTACACACTGCACAAATGTAATTTTTGGGTGCCAATATGACATGGAAGGGTACTGTGGCACGTCTCCACTGACGGAGGCGCGCCCATGGCTGGTCGTGGGTACGCCACAATTATCCTGCTCTACAAATTGCAAACCTCTTTTAGGGCGCTTTTGGCGTGCCTTTTGCTGAAGAAAAAGCGCCCTACAAAGCTCACTCAACACGGAGAGCGACGCAACCGTTCTTAGGCCTACCCACTTTCACAATATCACTGTTCGAAAACTGATCGCAGACAGCGACGTGTTTGTTGACATCAATGCATCCGATGGACGAAGCACGTTTGGGGTTGGGCAATTCCTCGACCCCAGCTTCGCTTGGCATGTGTGCCGCTCGGTTTCACGGTTGATCACTTCCGCAACCACGCAATTGCAGCTATTACGAGAGTGGCTTGGCTTGGCTTGAATTGGCCTGGCCGCTTAGCGGCAAAAGAAAATTGGCGGGCTTGGTTGCTAGCTGGCTAACTAAGTTAGACACAGTTGAAGGCTCACGGAGCCGAAAATCAAAAATACATTAATTATGCTAGAAGAAAGAAAAGTTCATATATCGATGGGCATTGTGGGGGGTGCTTAAATGTGAACATTTTTGACGGACATCCTTCTGGTTAGGAATGATTTAAAACTTAAACTTGGAACTCTAACCACGCTTTAATAAAAACAAAGATCTCGATGTTTCGGGGCCACTTCAGCCCCTTGATAACAGGCGACTGTTTCTGTCTTGCGAAGCAGCCTGCCCACAAACCCGAACACCCCCGGGTGCTCTCCGGATTATCTTTTCTTTAGAGCGCAGCTCTCAGGCACCCATTTCCGGCTTGAGCGGCATCGCCATCGGCGTCGGCGTAACTGTGCTGTGCATTATCGGAAATGTCCCATAATGCACTGGCGAGGAGGAGGAGGAAGAAGGAGGAAGGGGAGGAAAAGGAGAGGAGGGGAGGCACTTGAAGATGGAGGGGAGGAGGAGGAGGGGTATACCCTCCCCTCAGTACCCTTCCCTCCATCTCCTCAAGAGCAGCGCTCCAATTAGGCGTTGCAGGGTGTTGTAAACGTCTTTAATTTTTCTTTAAAAAACAAAAAACTGATGTTTGTTGTGCGAGTAAATACGGTACTCTGTGGCCAACTGGACTTTATTGTGTATTAGCTGCCACTTCCGAAACTGATGCACCCCTGATTACCCCTGGGGCAACATATACCAGTTTTAAAAGAAAAAGGCTCCAGGTACACCTAAGCACTTCTTCCGAGTTGTGAATGCAAAAGCACGCACGCCGCTTTCGCTCCCTTCTTTAATCTGCGGCGTACAACGCGCTGACCTTGGGCGTGGAACGGTGCAGCCGGTGCCTCGCGGAAACACAGCGCCATTGGCTGAGTGATCGTTCAAACTGTCGTGTGCCCTGCAGCACGAGGAAGGAACAGTCAGCAACGTAGTTCCCAGCAGAATGAACCCCTTGGTTTATTCCATGCGCCATATATATTGCCATGCGCTGTACAACCCATAAGAGGCGAGCGAATGCGCTGATCACTGAGAACGCAACAGTGTGATAACACAGTTAAGTGATCCGTGGGTAGGTTTTAGTGCCAAGGTAATTGTAATAATAATACTTATTCAGCTGTGTAAAGCCGCGATGCCGCAGAAAGCTGGGTAGCCTGTACTAAGAGGCCTGTGGCACCGCTACTAATGAAGATGATAATGCTAGGAGTATGGTACAGATGGGCTGACAGTGGCCCTTCGGGGTCGCGTCGTTCAAAGGTGTCAGTCTATGCCTTACCTGGCAGAGCCTTTATGCCGGTGTTAGATCGAATAAATATTGGAATGTGGCCAGAGCCGTTGCTTGGATTACTGCGGGCAAATCGTCGTTGTCGAGGAAGAGGAGGTTTTCAGCACAGGTTTTCCAGCTTTTTGATCTCGAGGTGTGATAGTTCAAGAGCCTGTATTTCCGTCGGCATTTATCCTGCAAAATGTACCATAAAATGATCAACTTTAATTATAGTGATGACTCAGAGAAGTTGTGGGACGGAGCAGCTTGAGGGGGGTTCTCTGGGAATCCTGCTTCGCTGAGTATCACATAGCAGAGATGGGTGGAGGCTGAATGTCACTTTGGGGGCTTAAAGCGCACGTTTCCATTTGGTGACTGGCCGAATCCGCTGGGGTTTTGCAAGGGTCCTCGCAATAGTTAACATATCTTGGATTGGAGTGATCAGTTCGGTGGCGTTGCACTCGAGGGAGTGCATTGACGCTGGAGCAACTACAGTGGTCGACTGATTTTTCGGTTGCCCATTATCCGGACTTGTTCAACATTTCGAACCTAAAGGAGGGAACCGTGACCTTATGGATAGAAGTATTGCATATTTGCAATCAATGATTCGGACAGCCTGAAGTGCGAAAGTTCGATTTTTCGGACAAAATCATTGCAAGCGATCAGCGGGGAACATTGCGGAGAACTCGCCATTTTGGATTCTATGTTGGCTGCACATGGATTGGCTTGGTTTGGCAGTGCTACTTGAGTACTGCTAAGTCCTACCGCTAAATAATGCTATGCTACCGCTCTTTTTTTTTCTCTAGTTGCACATTGTTATTGTCACCATGGTTACCAGTTTGCTCTGTTCATTCGGCATTCTGCTGTCGCGGACTTGCACCTCTCATCTCGTCTCGGTGAATCTAGTTTTCAGACTATGCTGTCGTGGACGTCATGGTCCCATCTGTTCTTCCGCCACCGCAAAGTGTCGCTAAGAAGCGCGGAAAGTACTGAGTGGCAGCGATTTTCGAGCCAATAGAAAGTGGCCGAACACTAGCGGAGGCGTAACCCAAAGCAAGGCACTATTGATGACTTTTTTAGGCCTGCTTATTGTAATAAAGGCAAGTTTTTTAATCTGCTGATTTTTGGGACCGCTATATTATTCGGATGTTTTTTCGGTCCCTGCAGAGTTAGAAAAATCTGTTGGCAACTGTACTGTAGCATTTTTTCTCTGGAATATTGTCCGATGAAATAAGCGTGATTTACATTGGCCATCGTTAGCACACCCTGAAGTTAATTAGCTGCAATTTCCAGGTCCCAAGGCCGGGTGAAGCACAAATAAATAATTGAAAAATTACATGCAAAATCCACAACCGCATGCAATACTTTTTAATAAAAACTTACAGGATCATAGCTTCCACTGTTTAAGGATGCTGCCTTCTCTGATATATTCTAGACTCGAAATGGTGCACTCTAAGCTTGAAACAGGAGCTATCAGAGTTACTTAATCTCCCAGTTTATGCATTTGCTCTAGATAAAACATTCCTGCCCCAGTTATCTTTCGAGCTTTTCGACATTCTCCATGGCCCTGTCTGGCCTGGTTAATATGCTGAAACGTAACTCGTATGGCCTGGAGCGGTAGCGTTGCATTGCTAATATGTAGCCATGCGGGTATGCACGCATGTTTACGTGATAAACTAATGCTGGCTACAAAATATACATAGTATATAGACCTTTTCCGCTTACTCTCGCCCCCGACCGCCAAGTAGGCATATCCGGTATGGGCGACGAAAAAATATTAAAACGTTTCAACCTGCAAATAGAAAATAGATGGGAGAGAAAACGAGAATGGCTGACGGTTACGCTTTTCTCATAAATGCATTCTATTGGCGTGGCGACGGCAAAACAATGTTTTCGCCCATACTGGAAGTGACAACTATTCAAGATGGTGGCACCCTTGAAGAAAGGGTCTATACCTGTGAATTTGTGATAGCTATTATCAAAGAAGTTTGATGATTCAGTTGCAAGAAAGGAACAAAGTGAAAAAATAATTTGAATGACTTACTAGTAGGCTTGTAGCAGGACCAGACCTGCATGTCGTCTCTTGGGGGTTCTCACAGTGTAGTACAGTCTCAGCTCAGTATAACAGAC